ATTTTAAATTCTATTTTTAATTGAAAATTTACAGAATAAAAATTCTATTTAGTAATAATACTGAATAGATTTAAAATAGTCTGTATCTATGTTTACTATGTTCAATTCTCATTTTTCCAATTTTACATTTTCTATTAATTTTTATACCAAACAAATATACAGTAAATTCATCAGAATCGATTTCAAAATTTTTGATCACCAAATCATTTAATTCGAATGAATTTTTTTGCAACTCATCATTTTCTAATTTTAAATGTGTTGCTTGGATTTTTTTGATTACATTATCTTTAGAACAAAGAATAATCTGTCGTTTTAAATTGCTTGCTTCATTATAAGTATTTAAGGAATATGCAGTATTAGTAACAAAAAATCGCATAGTACTTTCTGCTTGTTTTGCCAATAGCGCAGAAAATTCTCAAATATCACTTGGTCCAACCTTATATTTTTCTGCTTTGTTTTTAATCTGAATGATATAGTTCATCGATCTGTAATTACTAAATAAATCGATTCTACCATCACTAATAGAGGTAAATGTTGAATTGACGAAATAACCTGTTCTTGTTGCATTACATTCAATTAAATTTTTTCATAAAAGTTGTAGAAAAAAAAATTCAAGTTCATCTCCTTTTTGTTTTGGTATTAACTAAAAATAAAAAATATGAGTAATTGTTGTTATTGCTTCAACCAGTATTACTAATACTAAGTACTTGTACTTTTTTCACAGAATTTTGTTATCAAAATCTACATGGACGATTCTTTCTACTATTTACAGATAAAATCCTAATGCTAGAAAGCTCATTTCCACAGCGATAACTTACATTTTGATAAAGAAACTAAACAAAAATACCCAGTAAAATATATTTACCTTTTTTTAGTATTCATTGTTATTAAGATTACATAAATAAAACTCTATTCGGTTATTAACTGAATAGAAATATTTGTTTACTAAGTTTATATAAATTATTAAAATATTTTCGTTCTTTTCTGGTTAAAAATTTATAATTTTTTCTTTTCATTTTAAAATATTTATTTTTTCTTTTTTATATTCTTTTATTTCAAACATATAATGAATTATAAAAAATCATTCAGAAGAACTATCAAATTGAATATTCTAAGAAGAATTTACAATTTGTTCTGAAATTTTTTTTTTCTTTTCGGTCATTTGTTTACAATGTTAAAAATCTATTCGGTTATAAACTGAGTAGAATAAATATTTATTAAATAAATGAATAAAGATAAAATTAAAAAAAAAACAAATCAATTCCTCCTAAAATTTCCGTGTCTTGGATCTTTTGCTAATCTTTTTTCAACTTCTTTTTGAGAATAATATCCATTGATATTAGGGCTTTCAATATGTTCTTCAATGACACTACTAGTTTCAATACCATTATCAATTTCTTCAATAGGCTCAACTCTACGACACTTTCTGTTTCTAAGACTTCTAAACTTACTATTAATAGCATCAGAAATTTGACTATAACTTTTTTTAATTGAACCAGTTACTTTAAGATTTGCTAATTCTTTTAAATTATATAGAATCCACGAATCATTTTTTGTTAGTTCAGTTTGGACTGGAACTAGATCTTCAATAACTAAAAAATATATTGTAGTTTTAAATAAACATGTATTTCTATCTGAAAATTCTCTAAATCTTTCATGAAAACAAACAAATATAAGTTCTTTTAGTTCGATGTCTACTTCTTCTAAAGCTTCTCTTTAGGCATATTCTTCAAATATTTCATCTTTTTCTTTAGCTCCACCTGTTGCTTGAAGATAATCATAAAAATCTTTTTAAGCATTACACCTTCGACTAAGCCAAACCTTTTTATCAGCAGAAATTAATAAACATAAGGAAAATTCTCTAATTTGTTGCTTATATTTATTAATTGTGGCTTGATATTGTTGTATCAAATTAATATTAATTTTAATTTGACTTTTAATTTTCTTGATTACAGTATCAGCATCTGTAATAAATCCACATTTTTCAATATCTTTTAATGTATTGATATATGATAAATATTGTGGATTAAAAGAATTTAATGCTTGAAAATTTTCTTTTGCTAAGTTATATTGTTCCATATTTTATGATTATATAAATAAAAATTTAATCAGTCTTAAAAAGACTGATTAAATAAATTACAATTTTTTTCTAAAGCTGATTTAAAAGCTTTTTCTTCCGAAAGCAAATTATCAGAGTCATCTATAAAAATTTCTTGGTCTGTAAAAAAAACACTATTGTTCTAAACAATACCATTTTGTTTAATTATATATTTAATTGGTTTATCCTATTTATCAACTACTTCTATTTCTTTTACAAAGGTGGTATATTTGTATCATTTTGATAATCTGAAATAGTTATATCTGATTTATCATCAACTACTTTTATTTTTTTTACAAAAGGTGGTATACTTGTATCATCCGAAATATCTGTTAATTGCAATTCGGTATCTATAACTTCAGCATCTACAACTTTGGTAAGAGAAACTTTAGCATCTGAATCATATCCTTCTTCAAGATATTAAATATGTTGATCATGATCGGGATGCTCTTGGCCCCAAATAGTTATTTCATTACTATAATCTCTAAAAGGATTTTTAAAAAATACCGAATTCTAATTTTTTCAAGATATATTTTCTATAGCAACAGAAACTGGCTATTTTTTTTTAATATATTGATGATTTAAATGATAATTAATATCATTTAATTTTGTTTAATGAGAGCTTCTTCGAACAAGAATTGGAATAAATATTGATTGATTTTTTTTTTTATAAGTTTTGTATTCAATAGAACATTATTAAAATGTAATAAATTTAGCATAAATTTTAAACATTTTTCAATATCAGAAAATGCAATTTCATATGTATTATTGGTAACTTCTTGTTGAAATTTTCAACCTTTCAATCCAAGAAGATATTTAACCTCTTTATTAGAGAGTTTTTCACTTGTTTTAAATTTTTTTTTTCATTCATTATTAAAATTTTATCAGAAGAACTTTCTTCAATTACGATTTGTTTTCTTTTGTTAGCCATTTTTATTTTTACGTAGAAAAAATATAGTTGGTCAAATGACTAACTAGATTATATTTGTTTAATAAAAATAATAAAAATAATATAAAAATTACTCGAAAATATTTTTCATATCGAATTTTAAAAATTTTGTTAAATACTAATGATAAAATATTATCAACTATTTCTGATAATT